CACGGAGTCCGCAGCTGCCATCGTGGGCCCCGGCGGGACTAGCTCCTTTCCTGGCGGCCACCGAAGTCCCAGGGGGGAGAAGCCGGGGTCGGTGGCGAGCAGAGGTACTCACCATGTCGGCGACTTGGCGGTGCAGAGGCGCTGACGTCCGCCCAGAGGCTCAGGAGGCTGGTCTGGAAGTGTCGTCATCGAGGGGCGGGGCCTGGGAAGGCGGACTACAACTCCCAGCACGCCCCGCGGCACACGTCAGGGGTGTACCATTCCACAGCTCCCGGAGGATAGATAATAGGGAGGAAAGCAGAAGTCTTATTGTAATTAATTATATTAAAGTTTATTTATACAATAAAGCTTATTAAAACTTAAGAGAACATTTTATTGGTTGAATCATCCGTATCCCAACCCACTCCTACGTCTTTCCGCGCGTTGCCTGATGAGGATTCGAAGTCTCCGCGTGTTCCCCGCAGCGTCCTTAGAATGGATTCTCCTGTCCTCCGGGCAACGCGTCACAATAAACACCAGCGGTTCGCGGAGCGTGAGGCTCAGCTCGGCGAGGTCCCGGGCGGGAAGCGTGTGCTCCCTGGTGGCTCGCAGCCCTGGGCGCTCCAGCAGCTGAGACGGTCTGGTCTGGGTGGTCGGATTGAGTGCCCTTCTGAGAGGTGACTTGGTCCTCGCAGCCGCCAGGTGTTGGCCTTTAGATACCCACCTACTCTGAGCCTCCGTTTCCCTAATGGGAAATCTTTCCCCTCATCATGTTAGTTAGCCAGAAGCGTTCGGCCCCTCCTGCACCCCCCCATCCCCGGCACCTTTCTCCATCCTTTCGGAGGGAGCTTGCCAGGTTCCGCTTGTGCTATACTTATGTTCAGTGTAGCTCCCTGGGGCAGCATCTATGCCTTTGAAAATCTCAGCTTTCTGAGCTTCTACCGACGAGCCTTACCCAGAAGAGGGGTTTGCAATGAATTTGCTAAATAAATGAATAAAGGATTTTGTAAATGTTGCTCAAGAAGAGTTAAGTAATGGAAAGAGTCAAGACAGGAACTTCTGTTTTCTCTCTGTTGCACCAAGTGCTGTGCAGACACTGGGAAACCTATATAATAAAACCCTAATATGCAAATCAACTGAACAGAGGAATGACCTGTCGCTGTGATGCACACTGACCACCAGGGGTAAACGCTCAATGTAGGACCCCTGGTGGTCAGTGCGCTCCCACAGGGGGAGCACCGCTCAGCCAGAAGCTGGGCTCAAAGCTGGCAAGCCCAAAGGTGGTGGCTGGAGCTTCTCCTGCCTCCACTGCAGGAGGGCGGTAAGGAGCGAGGGGTCCTGGACTGCAAGAGTCCTGGACTGTGAGAGGGATGTCCACCAGCTGGCAGGCAGACATCCTCCCCGCCCCCCCAGGAGTCCCAGACTGCAAGAGGGAACACCCCCTGAGTGCATGAATCTCATGCACCAGGCCTCTAGTATTGTGATAAAAACTTGGCTCAGACCTTGGTTCCTGCCTTTGTAGAGCCAACAATTTAGTGTGTGTGTGTTAAGGATCCCTACACGTGGATATACAATGGTAACCCATTAGGTAACATGATGAGGGCATGGAAAGAGAAGCGCCTGTGGCTATGATAGAGGGAATTACAGTGATGAATGCACTGAGTAGTACAAGGCTCAGTGTTAATTGGGGGAACGAAAGGGTTTGGCTCAGTGAAGGACTGGTAACCTGCCTAAAGCGAAACAGCATGTGCCCTGGTCCTGTGCTGGGGAGGGCTCCACCGGTGACAACTGGAGCTCAGGTGCCAGGGAGCGGTGTCCCCAGGTGGCAGATGAGGTTGGTAGCGCTCTGTGAGCTCCTGTAAAACCCCAGGAAGCTTTTGTGGGGAGGCAGTGGGAATGGAGCTTTGAAATACCACGCACATGAAGGAGCACTCCCCAAATGACTGCCGTCTAGTTTTAAAGGGTATCTGATCAGAGGGAGAGGTAGGATGGAGGGAAGGGTTGTATGTTCTTAGCTTTAGTTTAACCAGAATCTTCTCTTGTCTCATTGATATTACACACTAGCAATGATTCATGCTCAGGTGAAACAACTTCTACATTCAAGGCATAAGCCAGTGTTTGAATTATTTACTGATGTTTGCCCAGGGTCTAAATCAAATTGGTGTTTTATAAATATTATGAGAAAATGGAGGCAAGTATTCTTAGCTCTTTGGTCCTCCTTTTTAGGACACGTCTAATTATGAAAATAGTACCTAAGTAAGTGGTTGCATAGTTAATGTGATATTGCAAAAGGAAATCACAGTTGGCATTCTACCCTTTAACAAATACTTTGAAGTCATTGTGGATTTTTGTTTGTTTTGTTGTTCTGTATTTTTATCTTGGTTAGAAAATTGTTCTCTCCCCCCATGAAATTTGAAAAACTCAGGAACTAGAGGGTAATACCTGTACGTGTTGTGCATTCTGAAAAGCTAAGTTCTAATTTTCAGGATGAGGGACAGTGCAGATGTTTAAGTCATTTGATCTAAACTGAAAACACCTGCCCTAGTTAATGATGCCTTTTAAACCTAACTTGCACTCAAAGGAGGGCTGGTTGTCTGCACAGTATTTATATCTCACTGCAAATTATTACAGCAAAAATTTTATCATTTACAGAAGGGGAACGGCAATGCAACAATGTAATCATACACACTTTGTAACCTGTGGGTATTTCACCTGGAGAGCCAAAGGGAGGGCTCACGGTGATCATTTTGAATACCATCAGCCTTAGCCCCACAAAATAGGTTCTTTCCCCACATAGTTTGGGACTACTGTTTTATAGAGAACATTCACTTTCAGACTGAAGGTAATTGAGACTGAAATTTAGTAATCACCGTTTTCCTAAACATTCCCTCCTGTATTTTTCATCGTAGGGTAGGCTTGAGCTATAATAGAAGTAGCCCAAAGGAACCTTTTGAAGTTACTGATATAGGGGACGCCTCCAGGAGACGCAACAATGCCTGGAGAAGGAACAAAAACTGATATGGAGAGGATTGGCCTCTTCAGTGAGATGGAATATATAACTGTTGGTGATAAATATGTGTCACATTTTGATCGTAAGTACATTCGCTCTCTTTACAGCCTAATCGTGGACATTTTCTGTATGGAAATTTGGTTAAATGATATTTAAATTTATTTGTTTATCTAGAGAAACACAAACACATCCATTTGTTATTCCACCTATTTATGCATTCATTGGTTGATTCTTGTATGTGCCCTCACCTGCCATCGAACCTGCAACCTTGGCGTATTGGGATGATGCCCTAACCAACTTAGCCACCTGGGTAGGGCCCAAATGATATTTTTAATGGCCCATATTTTAAAGTATTAGTTCTAAAGTTGAATAAACTTGAAAATAGAGTTAAGAGAATTTCATTTTTTTGCACTATCCTTTCTTTAAGTATTCTCCTCATAAGTAATTTTATTTCTTTCCAAGGGTTCATGGCAGTTTTCTCCCAGAATATTTTGTTTTTAGCTTTTTTCCCTTAAATAGGACACTCTACTATGCAAATAGTGTTCACATTTGTACCTGAAAAGGCCATCTACTATTCCTCTTGAAAAATAAAATGCTAAATGAATAGCCAAGTGATTGTTTAAAAGAGTTGTAAATGAGAGCTAAAGTAAATAATCATTTAAAATGTCTTAAATTTTTGGCTATTGAATGACCTCTATGTGGCCATAAAAAAGAATACAATGATATGAAACACCTCCAAGGTATGTTATTAAATGAAATAGAAATTAAGGTGCAGAATAGTGTATGCACTATGCTGAACACTAAAAATAGAGAGGAAAATATATGAAAATATATATTGGAACATGCCTAAACATTCTTTGGGAAACAAATTTAATATCATGATTGCCTGTGGGAGAGGAACCGAGTGGCCAAGTGTGGGGGAAGATTTATTGTATAAATATTTATACTGTTGCATTTGGAACGATGTGAATATATTACTTTTCAAAAATTTAAGGTAAAAAATCAGTGATACAAATTCACATTGAAATAACCAGTTGATTTAAGGATTGTTTGCACTTCAAAAAACACTTTATATCACAAAAGGACTTCTAAAATTAATCCAAATTATAAAAGAAGTTCCAAATATTTATAAAAAGTCTTTTAAAAAATTACAGGGCTACTAGTATATTTATTGTATAAATATACCACAATTTATTTATATGTTCTAATGATGGATATTTGAACTGTTGTTGTTTTTTAAAAAACATTACATTGTTTTTTAAAAAATCGACCCACAGGTTGAGAACCACTGCTCTAAGGTCTCTTCCAGCTCTGAAATTCACAGTCTATAACGTGATATATATTTTTATTGATTTCAGAGAGGAAGGGAGAGGGAGAGAGATAGAACCATCAACGATGAGAGAGAATCATTGATTGGCTGCCTTGTACTGGGGATCGAGCCCACAACCTGTCAGACCCAGGCTGATGCTCTATCCACTGAGCCAAACCAGCTAGGGCAGAACTGTTTCTTGGTTTTGATTATTATGACTGAAGTTGCTATGAACATTCTTGTTTATGTCTTTTAGTGGATAAAGGCACTCATGAGTTGTGAGTATATACCTAGGATGGAAATTGCTTCAGTCTGAGTGTGGAACACTCTCCACTTTAACCTACACACACACACACACACACACACACACACACACACACACACTTATTGACATTTCACACAAACTGTTTCTCAGTTATGTAGATGGGGAAGCATTGGATTAGATAATCTCTAAGGCAGTGGTTCTCAACCTTCTGGCCCTTTAAATACAGTTCCTCATGTTGTGACCCAACCATAAAATTATTTTCGTTGCTACTTCATAACTGTAATGTTGCTACTATTATGAATCGTAATGTAAATATCTGATATGCAGGATGGTCTTAGGCGACCCCTGTGAAAGGGTCGTTCGACCCCCAAAGGGGTCGCGACCCACAGGTTGAGAACCGCTGCTCTAAGGTCTCTTCCAGCTCTGAAATTCACAGTCTATAATGTAACCCTCTTAGGTCTTATTGTCAACATAGCCTTTCACACAGAGCTTTGAAACAAGTTTTAGGCCTCAAAACTTATTGGCCCATGTCACATTTTGACACTTTTTTTGTTATTTTTCATGTCCTTTGATTATTAGTGAGCTCAAAATTACCATATTCCTAATTTATTTTTTAAGGGCCCTTTAATGAAGCTGCCAGCAAAAAGAAACAGATGCTCCCTGGGGGATCCAAAGAAATGTCAGATCTCCAGGCGGGTTACTTTGAGCCCCGTTTTGTAAGGATTTTTGAAGGTGAAGGTTATGCGAATCTGAATCAAATGAGGAGAAAGCATATGATGCAGGAAGCAAAAAAAAATCTAGGCAAAGCTTTCCTCCCTCCTAACGGAGATAAAAAATCGTAAGTGTTTGGGGGAAAACTCTTGACTACATCTGCAACTTTCTCTCCTCTAGCCCTTCCACAGGACTTACTTATACTATATGATTCACTTTTTAAACTATGATCCTTTGGTAATTTTGTCTTGACTGGGGATAGTTATACTGGGAGATTTAAGTTGGCAAGTATTTTTCACTAAATTGATTGTCTTTATCACATTAAATTTGGGATTATTTATGTTACTGTTCTCTATTAGTTTATTTAATAAAGGCCAACTAAATAATGAAAATAAATTTGATAAAAAAAACCTTGAAGTAGTCAGGGGGAAAAAATCACCTTGGGTCATCATATCTGTGCCCTGACTGTTTTTTCTATTTTTAAAAAAACTTTTACAAAGTATCAATAAAAAAGCAAAATTAGGAGAAGGCTTCTTTTTTTTTTTTTTAAATATATTTTATTGATTTTTTACAGAGAGGAAGGGAGAGAGATAGAGAGTTAGAAACATCGATCAGCTGCCTCCTGCACATCTCCTACTGGGGATGTGCCCGCAACCCAGGTACATGCCCTTGACCGGAATCGAACCTGGGACCTTTCAGTCTGTAGGCCGACGCTCTATCCACTGAGCCAAACCGGTTTCGGCAGAAGGCTTCTTTTTTGATAAAGAAGTTAAATCATCAAAAATAGGTTAAGAATCCTTTACATGTAATATGGTTACTTTTACCCTTTAAATAACTTTTTCCTATTTTTAAGTGTTCCCCCCATGAACTTTGACCTCTTGTGGTAATAATTGGAAATTGCTGCCTTGATACATTAATTTATAACTGCGATTTTCTACCTTTTTCATCTTATGGCTAACATAAACTAATTACTAACATTTTGCAAACATCAAAAAATATATTTTTTGCCAGTTTGACAAAAATAAATAGGTATAATTTTTTTTGTGTTGTTAATTCTCACCTGAGGATATATTTTCCATCGATTTTAGAGACAGATACAGGGAGGGGGAGGGAGAAACATGGATGTGAGAAACATGTGTTGGTTGCCTCCGGCATGCCCCGCCCCCTTGTCCCCCACTGGGAATCGACCTGCAACCCAGGTATTTGCCCTTGACCAGGAATCAAACCCAGACCTTTCTGTGTGCAGGCCGACACTCTAACCACTGAGGGACACTGGCCAGGGCAAAATAGGTATAATTTTGATTCATTCACACGGGACGGCTATTGTTGTGTTGGCCATGGTCATTTTTTAAATTTGACAATCTAAGGGAAAGGAAGTCAGTGGCCCTGACTAAATAGTCAGGTTGCATATATTTTTAAAATTCTTGTAGCACACCATTTGAAAATCGCTGGATTATAATGTTCATTTTTCAGTCAAAAAATAATAACAGTTTTGTAGTTAGACTAATTTTTCTTTCTTTTTAAGTCTCCCTAGTATGAGAAAAAAAAATCTGTAATTTAGTGGATACAGAAAGTTTCCAAAAAGAGAGATTGGTAGTAGAAATAAGAAGCCTTTATACTGGTACTTACTCACCACCAAATTATGGAACCACAGGCACTTAATAAATTTTAAATGTACCGATATTTATTGCTTGCATTAAATCAAATTCTACTTAGATAATGCTTGTGGATAATTGACCTTTTATCTGCAATGTCATTGCTTTATCTCCTTATATTTTATTTTATGACATATATTCATAAATATCAATGAATAAAAATGAGTATTTTCTCCTAATGGAAACTTTATTTGTAGGCCAGAGATAATAAGTAACCAATATTGATGTCTTCTAGTTTTTAAAAATTTTAATTCAAATGTATAACCAGTGTCAAGTTTTGATGATAATAAGGTACCATTTACTGATTATTAAAATTTGTTTACTTCATTGATAACTTGGAAAATAGAGGCTATGACTATTACTAACATTAGTTATCCTTCTTGTGAACATTTTATTAAAGATAATATTTGTTAAAATAAAGTATTAGGTGGTAAATGGTTTAATGATTAAATATATATTGTGGGTCCAGAAAATTTAACATTAAAATTTAAAAAATTTGTTAACTTTTTTTCTATAATAAAGTAATCAGTATGAACCAAAAAGAAGAAAATTAGCAAAATGTCGTGAGATTCATTATGCCATCAGCAGCAGAAACAATACTTGTATGTTTTTGAAAGTATAGTTTCCAGTGAGTGGATGGTCAGAAGTAATTGGCCATTTATTAGCTAATTTGCCATAAAGTACCTCACTTCACCTAAATACACAAAAAGGTCTATTTATTGTTATGGTTAATGAGATTAATAGAAAGTATTTTAACTTCTTAGAGATTAAGAATTTTGTTTATATGAACATTTAAAATAAGCATAAACAATTAAAAACTCATCTCAAAATTGTCTGGAAAATTGGATTAGAAACTAGCAAGAAATGTTTTTTTTTGTTTGTTTGGTTTTTTTTTTTACCAAAGTTAAGCAAGTCAATTCCATTGCATATATTTTGCTCCTTTTTCAAACATTTTTATAAATTGTGCAAAAATGTATAAAACACACAATTGGCCATTTTAACCTGCTCTGTGTTTTTTTTTGTGTTTTTTTTGTTTTTGTTTTGTTTTTTTGACTGTAAGATGTGGAGTAGGAAGCTACTATGGAACAATAGGTGGTCCAGTCCCATTCTTCAGCGCACAGTCCAAACCCAGAGAAAAGTATGAGGCACCTGGGAAGAATTTATACACAAGCCCAGGAAAGAAGGGAACCGGATATGGGTAAGCTATATTTAATACTCTTATATCATTTGTTTTGAACTTTAAAAGGTAAAATTTAGAATTTCTGAACTTTGAAGTCACCTTTACTCATTTTCTTTCCTTAGCTATGCAAATGTTACGATAGGTAAACAGTTCACACACTCCGCTGATGTCTATGATGCACCAAAACTAAATTATAAGGTAAAATAATCTACTTTAGCTTTTTTCAACCTTTCTCATTTTGTTGACGTAGAGAATTCACTTGTGATCTAATGATGGTTTGTTTTGTTTACCATGTTTGTATTACTCGGGCAATGGCGGGCAGACTGATGTTTATGAATTGTGATAGTTTTACATTTCTTTTAAAAAAATATATCTTTATTGATTTCAGAGAGGAAGGGAGAGGGAAAGAGAGATAGAAACATCAATGATGAGAGAGAATCATTGATTGGCTGCCTTCTGCATACCCCAATCTAGGCTTATGCCCTCGACCAGAATCGAACCTGGGACCCTTCAGTCCGCAGGCTGACACTCTGTCCACTGAGCCAAACCAGCTAGGGCAACATTTCATTTTTGATATTAGATTTCCACATCTTACTATAGATCCCTTCAGCTCTTCCCAGGGTGAGCTTTTTACCTGCTGCTGTAGTTTACCACAGCTCTCACCTCTCTCTAAACTAGCTGTGAGACTTCTGTTAACTCAGCCTGATCAAATACCTTCTATTCTGAGTAGAGGAGTCATATCCTAACCCTTAGCCATGTTCCCACCACAACGAAGTAGTGGGAGTACTCCTCCATTAGGGTGAGTGATGGAATGGAGGAGTGATGGAGAACATCAAGAAAGAAGTAGAGAATGGATGCATGCCTACAGAAGAGAGAGTGAAAGGATGGAGAAAACTCCTCTCTTCATTAAAAAGCAGAAATAAACACTGAAACGTAACTGTTGTATGCCTTTTGCACTCACTTCATACAATATTTGATGTATAATGAAACATACTCACTTATGTGGAGAGCGCCTACATATGAATGGAGGAACCCTTATACATTTTGGAAAAATATCAACATAATTTAACAATATCAATGTAACTTAAAGAGAGCTGGTAGTAATAAAAAGTCCAATTTGTTGGACATTAAGCAACAAAAATTAAATGGCAACCATTTAATTAGTGTTTTTGTTTTTGTATTTTTAGGCGTGCAGTTTTCCATCATTTTGCTGTGGTGATTTCAGGTGGCATTGGGTGGGCTGTGAGATAGAAGGATAGAGATCAGTTTGGCAAATGGGTTGTCCAAACCCAAAAGTTTTCCATTAAATTGGGGAGAAGCCTTGGTCATTTGAAATTAAGCATCTCTGTTTTGTATGGATTATTCAGTTTATATAAAATTACATATAAACTGCTTTTCATCTGTAGGAATAGTAATAATACATAATATATAAATACATGTGGCTCAGTAATTAGTCTTCCATCCTAAACTTTATGGGTATAAGATACTTTTCTTTCCTTACAGTAGATAGAACTCTTTTATTCTTACTTTCATAACTTATTATTTATAAGTGAGAAATCTTGGATTTCCTAAAATTAATTCTGGAAATAATTTTTTAAATGTACCATTGCTTTTTCTTTTAGAATTTTAGAGATTATTCCACTGTTTTCTTGTTTGAATTGTTTCTGACAAGGTATCTGCTGTCATGGTTATTTTGTCCTGTCTCTTTTCCCTCTTGGTAACGTTTAAAATTTTCTTTATCACTCGTTGGAGCAATTTGATTGTGATCTGCCTTGGTGTAGTTTTCTCGTGTTTCTTATGCTTGGGGTTTGTTGAGCATCTTCGATCTGTGGATTTATAGTTTTCATTATATTTAGAATATTTTCAGCTATTATTTATGCAGATATTTTTCCCCCTTCCCTCCCCTCCCCTCTGTTTTGCTTGGGTACCAGGTAGCTAAAAATATTATAATCTAAGCCTGTTATAATGTAAAAAGTAAGTATTCCTCATTCTCAGAAGTAAAACTGACATTTATGAAGAGCCTACCATATGCCAGGTACTTTATACACAGAATCTCATTTAAACTTTACAGCAGCATGACTGGGGGGGGGGGCGTATTATCCTCATTTAGGGTTGAAAATGTGGTACTGAAAGGCCCCAGAGTCCCCAAGAAATGCTGAAAAGCAGGAGGGAGTTAGAGTGTGAACTGAAGACCAATCTCTTTTTACTATATCGTTTCCCCCAGGTAGTTAATAGAGATTTGTTCAGGTGACAAATAGATCTCTATACTTCAAATAAGTTGATATCCCAAATGAACAATCATAGTTGTTCTTATTCATAAGTAAGCATATCTTTAGTATCATAGAAACAGAGCATAACAAAGGAATGTTTAAAAAAATGTGAGCCTAGCAGTGTATATTTTAAAAATCTATGTGCTTCCATTAAAATGTAAAAGAAGATTCGACTCTCCGTTATTTTCCGTCGGAGTAATTTATGCCACATAATTTCTTTTAAAAAAAAATATTTCATTATTGATATCAGAGAGGAAGTGAGAAAGACAGAGAGATAGAAACATCAATGATGAGAGAGGATCATTGATTGGCTGCCTCCTGTATGCCCCCTACTGGGGATCGAGCCTACAACCCAGGCATGTGCCCTTGGCTGGAATTGAACCTGGGACCCTTCAGTCCGCAGGCTAATGCTCTATCCACTGAGTCAAGGCAGCTAGGGCTATGCCACATAATTTCTAACTCTTTAATTTACAGAAAGAGAGCGAAGAGCACCATCGTTTACTCAAAGGGGGACCTTTCAAGTTAAACCTTTACCCAAGAGAATATTTTGATACCAATCCTTATTTTTCTGAGAAATCTTTACCTCCAATTAAGAAGGCAGAGAAGAAAGAAGTACTCCCAAGCCCCTTTAAGCCCTCTTCTCCTGGTAAAAAGGTAAGTTAAGAGTTTTAGAATGAAAAGATATTAAGCATTTATTATTATTATTTTTTAATATTAAGCATTTTAAAGAAATAGTGCCTCTTGCCGTCAAATTGCTTTATTGCCCATGTAAACAATAAACTTTTGTTTTGTATTCATGCCAAGAATCATGAAACCAGTTTTTATAAAATTATGAAAAGGCATAAAGTATGGCCAGTGTATGGGAGGAAGGAAGCTCTTATAATGATTATTAATCAGTTCAAATATATTTGAGTTTACAGTTGATTCTTCTAAGTGCCTCTCTAATCTTAGGTCTAGTTTTTCTCAAAATCATAAAAAGCCAGGCCATCTTTTAGTTTTTGAAATGATTGAGATGAATTTTCTCACTTTGCTGAAGTTTACAAGTTTGAATAAAAATGGAAATACTTCTTTTAATTTATAAACCTTGGTTTATACATTTCTTCCTTCTGTGAATTGCCTGTTTACTTTTCCTGCAGATTTTCTAGTAGGATATTTGTAAGATCTTTTTGTACGCTAAGGATATTGTTCTGTTTTAGTTTGTTGAATGTTTTACTTTGATTATGGTATTTGTGCTATTCAGAAATTTAGTAATTTGATGTAGTCAAACTTAAGCATTTGCATTTTAATAAAAGAGAACTTTTAGAATTACAGTGTCTTAACCCCATGAAATTGCTGGTAGGGAGACTTTTTGCTGGTAGCTGCATTAAACAAAATAGACAACTTTCTTTAAATGTAAAACCAACTCCATAGGATAAACTTCAACATCTAATATTTTTAAGAAGCCTTTTACAAAACCACATAAAATGGTCTCATTCTGATTTGTAGGCTGGCGGAATGAAGGCAGGAACATTCGACCCTTACCCGTCACATTCTGCTGACCCGTATTCAGCTAAATCAGAAAAACCCAGCAAAGCTGCTAAGGTTTTCCACCCGCCAGGTGGACCAAAAAGCAGACCAATCGAAAGTGTAATGACTTTGAATGTCAAAAGGTAGTAATATGTTACATTTACTTCATTAATCAAGAAAAATTGTTTTCAACTTTTAGATTTCTTTAAAACCATATCTTTGATTTGTACACACTTTTAAAAATGACAAATTTGGATGACTTTAGAAATCTTGGCTCTTTCCGTATACCTTCCCTCTTTTGTAGTTCTTTCCCATCTGAAATTCTCAATGGAAAAAGCTTAATTTATGTACCAAACTATTCTGCCCATAATTTTTAAAGCAAATCTGTAGCATCTTATTATGAGTGACTTGAAATTCCTTAGGTATTTATCGTCCAGTTAGCTGCACATGTTAACACTAGAGGCCCAGTGCACGAATTCGTGCACTGGTGGGGTCCAGTCAGCCCGCCCTGATGGGGGCCGATCAGGGGCAGGGCCAGCCGGGGTGAGGGGCTGCGGTCGTTCTGGTTGTTGTGCCATTCGGTCACTGTGCTTTTTTTTTTTTTTTTTCACTGTGCTTTTATTATATAGGATCGTTCTCAGCGAGAGTTTTTGACCTTTGTTATAGGGCTCCAGGCTCTCATGAATCCTAATGACACTTAAGGTTTCTGTTCTTAACTTTGAAATAATCTCTTATGAAAACTGGAAATATTCCTCTTCCTGAAAAAAAATTGCTATTGACATCACGTTATAAAACTTTGAGGAAAAGCATGTTATTAAAGTATCTTAAAATTTCAATTTTACCCCGGTTTTGAGCACTCTGAAAACTGAGAATTTCTCAGGAGCTCAGAACATACATTAGAAATGGACAGTCCATCATTTTTGTGTGTGTGCAATATTATAAGTAAGTGAAATAATTCATTTCTATCTGTTCATTGAAAAATGCTTTAATGCCAATTAAACTAATTGACATATTTCTGACTTCAGTGTAATCCTGCGGTGGATTACTAGTAGATAAGGGACACCAAATTCGTATTCTTTCTTTTATAAAAACACAAGTAAGTACACCCTATCGGTGTAGACAGTGATTGTGATACCGACATTTTTATTACATCACAAAAGTAGAATTGCCCTTTCACGTTTATGTGATTTAACTGCGTCTACAGGACTAATGTTCTGGGAGCAGTTTTCTCTGAGCCCTTTTCTATCCAGAGAACAGACCTGAGAGAGTTCCATGTGTGCCCTAGCGAATATGTTTGGACAGAAAAGAGCAACTGATTGCTGCTTTGGAAAATCAGAAGTTTACCTTCTGTTTAGTAATTTTGAGTTTATTGAAACCTCTTTCTTTTTACATTATCGCAAATATTACCCTAAATCAAGTTTAAGCTCCTTTTACCCTAATTTTAAAACTAATAAATCTCTGGATCATAGTATTTAAAATTGGTCCCATAAGTCAATTTTTCCTTCCTAAATTACATTTTAAAAATATTTTTGATTTATTTAAAGTGAAGCTTTTTAATTTGGTGAGGAAATGTGGTTTTGGATTGTTAATTTTTTAAATTGTAAAACATTTTTTAAAGAATTTACAGATATATTACCTGCACCTATACAATTAAATGGACATTTATTTTCTAATTTTAGGGCATTGAATATGAAGAACTACAAGACTGCTTCAATACCATCCTTTTAGGCTCTGGAAGACAAGTAGCTTTCATTACCAAGTGCAAATTATTTGAAAAAATATAAGATGTTGTAGGATAGATAACCCAAACATTTAAAAGATATTTAATCCTACCACTCTAATACTCTTGTCTTAGTACTATTAATGAATAAATAGTATTTGCTGATAATTTGATTGCTGGTATGTGTCTCTCCCCTTCCCTTCCCCCCAGTATATTTTTTATTGATTTCAGAGAGGAAGGGAGAGGGAGAGAGAGATAGAAACATCAATAGTGAGAGAGAATCATTGAGCAGCTGCCTCCTGTAGGCCCCACACTGGGGATGGAGCCTGCAACCGGGCATGTGCCCTGATTTGGAATCCAACCGTGACTTCCTGTTTCATAGGTTGACACTCAACCACTGAGCCAATGCCAGCCGGGCTGGTATGTGTTTTTGAGAATATAATGTTTAGAACTTTTATACAATTTTGAAGTATAGTGTATCAATTGAGAGCTCTTACTCCTAATGTGAAAAAGCTGCAGGGTTGTGGGGGAGGGGAATGTGGAGGCTGAGGAGGGTAGAAAGTACACAGTAAATTCCTAACTTGGAGGTAAAAATTGGATTGATAGCTATCCAAGTGTCAGCCTATTAAAGGATTCTTATCAAAGATAAATATGGATCCATTCATATTGCATAGACTCACTTACACTTTATAGAGTAAGGCAGATGTCTCCGTGTACGGGGCACCGTGCCTTCCACTCATGACCTCTAAAGCATCACCCAGTGCAGCCCCAGGGTGAGCTTGGGCGGGAGGGAGAACAGGGAACACACTTTTACTTCATTATTTTATAAAGAATGACAAAGTTGCAAGGAAGGTGGTCCTTGGTGTCCTCTCAGCCCCTCCCCTGGTTAGCGGTCCAAGCTGCCTCTCCTGGGGCACCTCCCACTCCCAGGCCTTACCCTCTGGTTTCCAGGTTCTCTCTTCTGCACTCACTCTACCACTTTTCAAACTATCTGTTGTTAAAAGATACAATTTAAACGCATTGCTATAATTCACCATGAGGTCTATCAGTAGTCCTCATTGATTTTAGGGGTGGTGGTGGTTTGTAATAGAGAAATTTACAATATCTATTAATGTAATGCATTGGGGAAGTTATTTTTTTCTAATGATCTTTATCCCTTCTTATTTTTTAATTTTTAAAATTCATTTTTGTTGAAAGTATTATAGATGTCCCCCCTTTCCCCCTCTTAACCCCCTTGACCCTTTTGACCCCACACCACCCCCCTCAGGCCTTCACCGCACTATTGTCCGTGTCCATGGGTTATGCATATATGCATATAAGTTATTTCCCTCTGAGAGTTATCAGTCTGTTCCATGCTTCTATGTCTCTGAATCTATTTTGTTCATCAGTTTATTTTGTTCATTGGGGAAGTTATTATTTTTTAAATAGATTTTTATTGATTTCAGAGAGGAAGGGAGAGGGAGAGATAGAAACATCAATGATGAGAGAGAATCATTGATTGAATACCTCCTGCACAACGCCTACTGCGGATCCAGCCTGCAACCAGGGGAATGTGCCCTGACCGGGAATTGAACCCTGACCTCCTGGTTCATGGGTCGACGCTCAACCACTGAGCCACACCAGCCGGGCAGGAAATTACTTTTGGTTCACGGTGCTATCTTAGGCTTGTCCTCCTGCCATCCTAGGTTTCTCAGAACTGGAAGTCAGAATGTGTAGAGGCTGCAGTACTCTTCATTTGGACCCATTTTTATCCCAATGGGGGGAACTATGTCAATCCAGATATAAATCTGGCTTTTAAAGGGATTGCAGATGGTACAGAGAACTTTTCCTACTGTCAAATGTACATATTTTTATTGTCTTGCCTCATAACTGCTTACTTTTTTCTAAAAGAATATTTAAAATTCTTATTTCCTACCCAAAGTATAATGCAAAATGAACATCTTAAAGACATTATCAAGGGTATAATGTAACTCAAAGGGGAATACGTGTGTCTTCAGAACAGGAGTGGTTTTACCAGGTGCATAAACTGCATAAAATTCACATAGTTGTACATTGATAAATCTTACCCAACAAGTCTTACATATATGTTCTTTTGAGATAGAGGCTTATAATTTCAGATTTTATTAAGATCTAAATAATTGCTCATTTCACCTCTGCCTTTATTAGCTGTAGCTTTTATTAATGTGCCTCTCATAGCAATGCAAACTCCGTGTAACATTCACAAATGGGAATCTGCATCTAATGCCTGACTAAACGGTGTAAGGAGGAGTAGGGCAGCGGGCAGAGCTTATCTAGAGTTTGCATATATGTGTTGTGTCAATTTACAGAAAAAGGAATGCAGAAACCAGTATTAGGAATAGTGAAGCATGTAGGAAAATTAAGATTTTTAAGATGATGGAAGAACACACATACATACGCATTTTACTTGAGGGTGCTTTATTTGTGATGAACATTGATATATTTTTTTTTACCATTATTGACTCTTCTTTTAATTTTGAAAATATAACATTAGGTAGTTTCCTGTGAAACAACTTTTCCTCCCCAAACTTAGACATGAGGAGTTAAGACATGGTCACTGGCATCTTATCTCTTGATGACTCAGGCATCTAGTGATCTTTGGGCCCATTATGATGCCTGTATGACGTGAGTAGCTTTTTGCACCCACCATCAGTGAATAATGGAAGAAATAAGCTTGCTTAGAGCCATTAATTTCTATGAGTCATCCAACCATACCTATGTAAGGCTTAAAATGGAAACAAAGATTGAGGATGCTAACTTGTGGAAGAAAGACTTAATGAGATTTAGTTCAATAAGAAACTCCGCTGGGACTGGAGAAAGTTAAGCAGCAGCACATCATATCTTTTGGAAGTCATATCTTATGTCTTTAGAGGCTGATTTTTGAACAAAGCAATATAATTGATTATACTTTAGTAAGACTGATAAAGAAAAAAGAAGTAACCCCAAATTACCAATGTCAGAAATTAAAGATGGGATATCACCACACGTCCTCTGGATATTACAAAGATAATAAGGAATATTTGGACAACTGTATGTCAATACACTTGAGAACTTATATCAATGTATAAGATTATAAGAACATACCAATAATCAAACTGGCTTAAGAATATAAAATCTAAATTGTTCCATATCTATTCATGAAATTTGTTTTGTAATGTAAACCTTCCCATTTGGAAGACTGCAGGCCAATTGGTGAATTCTATTATGTATTGAAGGAAGAGATAACATCAATAATGCCAATCCTACACTAATCCTTTCAGAAAACAGAGGAGAAGGAAACACTTCCCAACACATTTTACGAGGCCAGATTTTCTTGGTACCAAACCAGATAAAGACATTAAAAGAAAAAAAAAATATGGAGACCAATATCTTTCTGAGCACAGAAGAAATCCTTAACCAAATATTATCAAATTGAACCCAAGAGCGTATATTAAAAGGATAATACATGACCTAGTGGCGTTTATTCCAGCAATGCAAAGTTAGTATGTCCCCAAATTAATCAATGTAATGACCATATTAACAGATTAAAGGGGAAAACACACCTCAATAAATGAAGAAAAAGCATTTGGTAAAATTCAACACGTTTATATAGCAAGCAGTCTTGGAAGAAGATACAGTGTCTTGCTCTGGAGCAAAGGGCAGGTTTGCTTTCAGCCTTGGAAGCTAGAGTTAGTGACTCCCTGGAGCAGGGGCAGATATGCTAACTGACCTGTATAATAAAGGTAAAGTTTAGAGCAAAGGATGGGCATGCTTACTGCACTTATACAATACTAGAGGCCTGGAGCACAAAATTCATGCATGGGTAGGGTCCCTAGTCCTGGCTGGGGCCTGCCTTCGTTCTGCGCCACCCTCTGGTGGTCAGTGCACGTCATAGCGAGCGATCGAACTCCCGGTCTCCCGGTTGAACTCCCAAGGGGACACTTTGCATATTAGCTATATATATTTGGGTTCCCTAACCTCAGAGTTCTCTCCTGCAATAGAACTGACTGTGGTCCTTTTCATGCTGTTTATAGGAATTGGAGAACCAATGCAAAAAAAAAAGCTAATATTCTGGCTACTGCTGTTGCTATAACAAACTGTCCTTTACCTCTGACCCAGGTGTCTCATGTCTTCCACTAGAACTCATGAAACTGTGAGGCTAACATGATAGCCTACAAGTTGGGTGACATCTCATACTGTTCACAGTTCTGGAATATATATGTAATTTAAGGGCCATTAGAATACTCTTGGCTTAATTTACATCAGCTGGACCCAGGGAGCCAGCAGAGCCACTCCCTTGGGGGCGTGACCAGTCAAAAGATTGGGCGCCACCCAGTTTGACTCCCCCGCCCAGTGTTAAGGGGATGGATCTCATGATGTCGAAGGCCCACCCAGATGTGATGTAACTTCCTGTAATTCAAGTATAAAATAAACACGTTGCTTTGGGACTTGGTCTCTCTGCCTCTCCGCCAGAAGAGGACAGAAGCCCACCCAGGCCCAGCTTTTGATCTATTTTATGTCTGTCTTTCATTTTCTCAATCCCCGAAGCGCCTCCATTTGAAGGAACCGGTTTAAGCTCTCTTTCCTGTGTGGGACGCGGAAAAGGGAGCCCCACGCCCCGGAACATGTAATATATTAATTATAATACATAATACATAATTTATAATATATAATATATATATAAAATTTCAATTTCTAATTAAAAAATTAGTTTAATAAATTACAGAGTAAATGTAATCATATGTAAAAGCAAATTAAAATGATTTTGTAGACAAAAAGTTCTGGCACAAAGGATCTTGAAACATTGATTTTAGAAATTTATTTACATCTCTTGGATGGAAGCAATTGATTCAGTTTACTTGGAATTCCTGGGAAGAAAGAAGAATTTGTTTTAAGGTGGGAGTGCTGAATGTACTTCAGAAAAAACAATTTAAAAAACCCCTGCTCCCTCCCAAAGTTGCTTTGTGCTTATACAATGTATAGAAGTAATATGAATAAAATAACATGAGTTTTATAAAAAAGAGCAAAACCTCTAAATAATTCTACTATATAATAAATTGGATACAAATCTTACAAAACTAAGTTGTATTCATCTTAAAAGCTCCCTTCTTTTTTTAAAAATATATTTTTATTGATTTCAGAGAGGAAGGGAGAGGGAGAGAGAG